CCACCAGCAGCTCCTCCTCGTTGCTGGCGGCGCAGGTGTCCGAGGTGCCCGACTGCTTCGGCACCAGCAGGTGGGTGATGGTGAAGGTGTTCTGGCGGAGTTCGCCGGCGAGGATGGCGCACGTTTCCACGTTGCGATCTGTTGGAGGAAAAGAAGTTAGGAGTTTTTGTGTTTGACCAGGTTCGTACAAGAACTACTGACCAGTGTTTGACCGGGAAAGGCTGGAGAACTTCTCCTTGATTGATCGGAAGGGAACAATCATTGTGGAGAGCAGTCCGTCAATGACTGGCTCTTGGAACACTGCCGCCGGCTTTGTCGAGCGGTCAATGGATGGCTTCTGATGGCCGCCTGATGGTTCACCAAAGTTTAGCGAGTTGAGAAGGTCAGTGGGCGGAGACGGAGGGCCCGAGTCGTCGTCCTCCTCGCTAAGAAGACTGTCGGCGTCGCTGTGGTGGCCATTTTCACCACCGCCACCTGAAGAGGGTAACTCTGGCTTTTGGTGAGGTCTTCTGAGAGGTGCGACGGCCGCCTCGGCCAGTTCGCGCTTCTTCCTGTCAAGCTCGTGTTGGAAGTTCGTCAGAAATTGATCCTTCTGTTGCTTCTGCTGCCTGGCCATCTGCGCCTCCAGTTGACGCTGCTGTTGAGCTTGGCGTTCCCTGACCGCTTGGTCGTAGGCTGACTGAAATCGAAATAGAAAATGGTAGTTAAACCTCAATCAAGTACGCAAAAGTAGTTACCTTTCTTTCCAAGTAGGCATCGTACTCTCGCTGGTAGCGAGCCAATATCTTTGACTTGATTTCTTCGGCAATTTGAATAATCTTTGCACAGTTGTTCCGCACGTATGACTTTTCAGTTGCGTCGGCGGTTTTGTACTGGGAATGCTTTGGAAGTTGCTCAAAATAAAGGCTGTTTGGGGAAACAAAACCTTCATTAGTGTCATGGTAAACAAAAAGCAAGATCGCCCATCACTTACATAATGTACTTCATGTAGAGAATGAAGCTCCGCTCAAAGTTCTTCTCGTCCAGGTAAACATTGGCCATGCGAAGCAGCTCCCGGCCCGAGTGCCAGTACCGCTTGATGGGAATGGAGTCGTCCGTGGTCACATCTTCAGCCTTCTTCACCAGCGCCTTGATGCGATCGTCGGGCTTGGCCACCGGTTGAGGTTCGCTCAGCAAAACTGGGTTACTCATTGTACAGCTGTACAACTCTTCTGTTGATTTTCACCTTTTGGTGGCCAAAACACCTAACAAAAACGTTTCCCACCGACGCTCTAGTGTCTCATCAGCCCAATGTTAGCACTTGGTCGTAAAGGTAAGGCGGTAAATAAGGTGATAAAAGGCTAGAAAGAAGGTACAAAGAAAGAAGAGCGGATAAAAACAAATGCACAGTTGTTGTGGTGAAGAGATTGCACCAAAGTGAGTCATGCAACAGTGAACAGTAAAGGGACAACAACAACAAACGAGATGTCGCCAGCGGCGCAACTGTCAAAAATGTAAAAATCACGATCACAAAAATTCGGAAGGGACACTTCTCTCACTGACCATGAAGCTGCAGATGGACACAGACATTACCAGGAACAATTATAGTTATCAGAAGTGCCACCAAGTTTAATTTAATTGCAAATGACACGCAGCAAAAGAGGGAGGACGTCCAAAAGAAAGTTTGTGTCTCAAGAAGATGTTCCAAAAAAGGAGACAAAAGAGTGCTGTTTCTTTCAATTTGGTCACTCAATTCCCTGCTGGCCGATTGTGTCCAATTGTCTGACGGTCGAATGTCTGGCGGACAAACTGATCAGTCTTTGTGCGTGTTCGCATCATTCAGCCTCATTCACCAGCGAAGTAATAAGTGGCAAACTGTGTTGGCGGTGGCAATACCCGTCGGTTATTGGTTCGCCGATGGATTGGGTGGGAAGAAAGAGGCAGCCGATTAATGGCCATTTCTATTCATTGGCCGTTCCACGACCACTGGACTTGAATGCCACCGACGGCGATTCTTACCCATCGGGGGCTTCNAGGGGGCTTCTTCCGTCGGCTGCTTTGCCTCTTTAACCGAACATTGAGCTATCCTCTTTCTCTTTTTCTCTTCATCTCCTTTCTTCCCTGGCTCCCTCGGCCCAATGCACTCAAGTAACATTTGCTCGCCTACGCACGAACCAAGTAGAATGCTTCGGAGCGAGAGGAAAAACAACAGCCGTACATCACTCGGCTGTACGGTGGAAAAGCGCAAAGCCTCTTAATTTGCATTTCTGTCACCGAGAAGGGTACGAAAGTTAAAGTTTATCAAAACAAGAAAGAGAGGCTGAGCCAAACAACCCGCTCCAGTGGACCTTGTTTTTGGCTGCTTTACAACAACATCATTTTTTTGCTGGTTTGCTGTGATGCCAATGAATGGCTGGTGAATGTCTTTTCCCAATTTGCGTGTGACTTTCATTTTCACTTTTTTTCTCTCATTTCTTTCCTCGCCCTTAGTGAGTGGACATCCATTTGGGGAATCCTTTGCCGTAGCTGTACGATCAGGCTTTCAGCAGGCAGTGTACAAGAGAAAAAATGAGAGCCTGTCGCTGGGCGGCAAATCTGTCAAATATTGTTGCACTGATCAGTGGAAGCAGAAAAGGGCAAAAGAAACCCTCCAACCAGAGACTACAGTGGGCCAAGGTCTACTACTACTGCTTCTTGGAAACAGTTCTTCTTGCAATCTATCGCCTACAACTACTACTACTGCTGCTGGTGCCCATTACCCCTAAGTGAGCAGCACATCTTTCCCGTCATATATAGCCTGCCAGTCAGCTACAACTTTCACCACCACTAGTCACCACGAGGCAGTGAAAACACTGTGTCGACTTCTT